CATATTTAACTCAACAGCACCTAACAGCAACACCACCACCACTATCTCACATGCACACATCTGAAACACTTTTTGAAAGCAAAAAAAGTACTTTGCACACTATGCTGAGTGAACTAACTCAGTTCCAAAAGAACAAATATTGTATAAAACCGTTATTGTAGAATGAGTATGAGGAGCCAAGGGCGGGATGAAGGGGTGAGGATGTGTGGTGTTAATCATAGAGCAAGATAATAGTATAAAATATACAATTCGATGGGTTTTAGGAGTGAAGGAAATGGGAAAGATCCATTATGAAAACAATGTATTCAAACTTTGTAAATAAACCAGAATTTAAAAAAAAGTATTTTGTTATAACGCCTTACGCTGATTTAAGTGATTATTCTGTATGCAAGTAAGTAAGATATTCTATTCTACCCTTTTGGACCAAGATTAAAATAGAAAATAAAGTAAGTTAAGAAATCGATAAAAAAAAAAAAAGACGTACTTGATACAATTTGATGGTTTGTGGGAGTGAAGGAAATGGGAAAGATCCATTGTGAAACCAATGTATTCAAACTTTGTAAATACCAGAATTTTTAAAAAAAAATTGCTACAACACCTTACACTGATAGTGATTATTCTGTATACAAGTAAATATCACATTCTACTCTACCTTTTCGGACCAAGATTAGAATAGAAAATAAAGAAAGTTAAGAAATCTATTTAAAAAAGTACTTGAACATACAACTATTCCAAAACAAAAGCAGAATGCTACTATCTACCTAACTACTTTTAAAAATTGAGATTTTAATGAAAGTTTATAGAGAACTTGGATTTCCTTTCATTCATTGTTGCACATTTTCCACCCTGTTGCTCCCTGCCTCCTGCCCAGTTCACTTTTCTCTTTGGAAAAAAACAAATTCTTTCATTGTTATACAGTACACCTCCCCCAGTCCACTTTACTATGCAGCTCTTATTCTGTACTCTTGTCATGCCAATAATATCTAATCATGTATTCCTTTTTTACAGTTCTCTCCCTTGTCTGTTTCAATGCCATATACATTATTTATCCCCTATTTTCTTAGTCCCTCCCCCCAACTCCCATATCAGTTCTGTTCTGTAAGAGTGGCATTATGCAGTCTTTGTCCTTTTGTAACTGAGATATTTCACTCAACTTAATGTCCTCCATGGTCACCCATTTTGTATATTTCATGAGTTCTTTGTTTTTCAGTGCTGAATAATATTCCATTGTGTGAATATAGCACAGCCTCTCTATTCATTTGTTTGTTGATGGGCACTTGAGTTGTTTCCAACTCTTTGCTATTTATGAACAAAGCAGCAATAAATGTGGGTGTGCATATATCTACTTCGGTGGCAGTTATTGTTTCTTTAGGGTTATATTCCTAGTAGTGGAATTGCTGGGTCAAATGGAATTTCTATTTCCAACTCTATGAGAAAGGGTCATATTGTCTTCCATAGTGGTTGCACCATTTTACACAGCTATCAGCAGTGAATAACGGTTCCAGTTTCTCCACAACCTTGTCAGCATTTGTTTGCTGCTTTGTTGAATTTTGTTATTGTTACTCGGGTGAGATAATAGCTCATAGTTATTTTGAATTTCTCTTAGAGCTGGGGATTTTGAATATTTCTTCATGTGCTTGTTTTCCATCTGAATATCTTCTTTGGTGAAATGTGTTCATATCCTGTGCCCATCTTGCAATTAGGCTTTACCATGTTATGGTGCTTGAGTATTCTATAAATTCTAAATATAAATCCCTTATCAGACATGTCATTACCAAATATTTTTACCCAGTTTGTGTCTTCCCTTTTTACCTTGTTGGAGAAGTTTTAGGATGTGCATAGGGATTTGATTCTTAGAAGGTCCCATTCATCTGTTTTATTCTCTTCTGGCTGTAGGTTTTCCAGGATGCTTGGATGTTGTGGATTAGGCTTCTAGGGTTCTCCCAAGCTTTTCTCTAATGAAGTTTGTAGTCCTTGGTTTTAGTCCTAAGTCCTTGCTCCATTTTGAGTTTGTTTTTGTTTATGATGTGAGGTGTGAGTCTTGTTTGAGTTTTCTGCAGATAGTTTTCCAATTTTGCCAATACTATTTGTTAAAAAAGCTGTTGTTTCCCCACTTAACTGATTTCATCCCCTATTAAAAATCAGTTGATGGGATGATTTCTTGGTTCTCAATTCTATTCCATTGATCTATGTGTCTGTCATTGTACCAGTACCAAGCTGTCTTGATCACCATGGCAGTGTAGTAAGATTTGAAATCAGGGAGTGAAATGCCTCCTACCTTGTATCTCTTTTTAAGGAATACTTTCCTTACTGGGGCCTCTTTCCATTCCATATTAAATTTGAGATTTCCTTTTCCATCTTGTTGAAGAATGGAATTCGTATTTGTATTGGGATTGCACTGAAGGTGTAAATTGTCTTTGGTAGTATTGTTATTTTCACAATATTAAATCTTCCTGTCTATGAACAAGGGATAGTCTTTCATTTCTCCAGGTCTCTTTTTGTTTCTTCTAGTAATGGTTTTTAATTTTTTTTAAATAGATCCTTTGTGTTTCTAGTAAGATTAAATCCCAAGTATTTAAACTTATGATTCACTATAGTTATGGGTATTTTTCTTGGCTCCAGTTCTGTATTCTCTTTGTCACTGTATAGAAATTCCATTAATTTTTGTATGTTGATCATGTATCCTGCCACTTTGCTGAATTGGTCAACTATGTCAAGTTGTTTTCCTGCTGAGTTTTTTTGTCTTTCAAGTATACTATCATATCATCTGCATACTTACTGACTTACTTTTGGCAGTTTGGATACCTCTTATTTCGTTCCCTTGTCTTATTGCTACCGCTAAAACTTCTAATACAATATTGAATAAGAGAGGTGATAATGAGCACCCTTTTCGAGTTCCTGTTCTCAAAGGGAATGCCTTTAATCTCTCTCCATTGAGAACACTATTGGCTCTCAGGTTTGTGTGTGTGTGTATATATATAAAATTTTTTTTTTTACTATCTGGAGTAAATTCCTTTCTCTTCCTATATGTTGTGTGTTTTAATCAGGAAAGGGTGTTGGATTTTGTCAAAGGACTTTTCTGCATCAATAGATTGGATAATGTGGTTCTTGTTCTTTGTTTTGTTAATTTGATGAGTTACACTGACTGTTTTTATGTTGAACCATGCTTGCATACCTGTTATGAATCCCACTTGGTCATGGTGAATTATTCTTTTTATGCATCGTTTGAGTCTATTTGCCAGGATTTTATTTAGAATTTTTGCATTTATGTTCATGAGAGATATTGGCTTATAGTTTTCTATTTTGGTGGTTTCTTTACCTGACTTTTGTATCAAGGATATGTTTGTTTCATAGAATAAGTCTGGGAGAATTCCATCTTTTTCTATTTTCTGAAATAATTTATGTAAATAGTATTTAGCTAACTACTTTTAATATAATAAAATAAGAAAAGTAAATCTTTTTCCTGAAGTCACAGATTTAAAACTAAAATCCAAATCTACTTGAAGCGGTGGTCTAATACAGCAGCTAAGAGGATTCACTTCTGGAATATTAGTATTATAAATATCCTCTCTAAGAGGGTCTGAATCTACCAAAAAAAGCAGACTGCAGGATGAATTTGCTTTTAGAAAAGAAGGTGGATGGTGATAGCCTCCAGGAGCCTCATTGTTTCTGTGTAATAAGATAGACATGGCTTTGAATTTCAAGTGCAATTTTTTTAACGTTATTTTCATTTTATTTGATGATGTATTATTCTCAAGCCATAAGTTTTTGTTTCTTTACTTTCTTCTGGGAGATCTTTTTCTTCTGGGCAGCCTCCTCTTCTGATTTAGAAAGAATCTGTTCCTTTTCAGTAAGGATCACCTCAATGTGGCAGGGGGAGCTCCTATAGGGGTTAATCCGACCATGAGCTCTGTATGTGCGGCAGTGCATCTTGAGAGCTTTGTTCACCTGGATATGCTCAATGACCAGAGAATCAACATCTAAACCCTTAAGTTTAGCATTACTTTCGGCATTTTTAAGGCTATGCAGCAAAAACGTGGCATTCTTTTTGGGCCACCGACCCTGTGTCCAACCCCACTGTTTGGCCTGGGCCCACCTGCAAACTCCTTCATTTTATCGTCAGAAGGGCACACACTGCTTTTGCAAAGTGACATCTTTCAGATACTTGGTGGCTTTACGGATATGCACACTTTTGATGGCCTGGGCAGTTTCTTGGGCGTTCTTAAAATGGACCTGGAGATTTGAGCCTCTTGATTTGCATGATTTTGTGGGATTTTTCCGGATCAAGGGAGTAGGGAACCATTATGGGAGATTACCTGCTGCTGCTCACAGGAGAAGTTCAAGTGCAATTTTTTAACACTGTAGTATTAGACAAGGAAATTCTTCCTATCTCATGTCATTTAATATGTTTTTAAAAGAATTAAAAAAAAAACAAACCACAAATGAGCCCACTTATTATCTTTGAATTGGAACCTATGATTAGCTGACCCTCCATTGGTTTTCTGAGGCTGTATTTCTTAGTAAGAAGATTGCTTATTTTTCTCCTGAGAAGCAACTGGTAAACTCACATAATCAAAGATGTACAAGTCCCTTTAGACCATGCTGCTAAAACTCTCTTATCACAAACATTTCTGATAGCATTTAATGTGTAGAGTATGGTCAGTGTTAGCATCTGTGGATGGTATGAACACTTTGAGTATCCTGAGGGAAAATTTCTGAGTACCAGATATTGAACTAATATCCCAGGATTCAGTGCTGGCAAAGCTACAAAAAGGGCAACTCCTGACTTTCATTATCAGTTTTAATTATTTCAGAACCAAATTAAGTACAGACATATTTTTTTGTGCTAGTTTTTATCCTTCAATAGATGATTTATTTAATTACATTTGAAGAATTTCTCATCTTTCATATTCTGAAATTGTATGTAAAAGTGGAGGAAAAAATTATTCTGGTATAAAAATCCCTGTACCAGACATTCATAAATCTCCAGGACACTGACAGAAAGGATCAGGAGGGATACTCCCTATCATGGATTGAATTGTGACTCCTAGCATACACCTCCCCGCCCAAAGTGCGTCAAATTCACTATGCCATGACTCTCAGTGATTTGGCAGTTTGTAATGGTGGAATTATTCCCATCATCTGATCACCCTGATCTCTTGTGAAGGTATTAAAGCAGATAAAACATCCATAATCAGATTACAGCCCTGGTTAGATAGAAGAGTCTAAGGCTGGGATGCAACTACCCCCAAATAATTATTTCACAGCCTCCAGGGATGACATCTGAGTTGCTTTTTATTGATAGTTGAGTAAACATTTACAAAGCAAATTAGTTTTCCTCAGTCATTCATACATATTTTCCTTTATACCACTAACAACCATACTCATAATATGTGATTATCCTCTCCTTTCCATTCATCTATTTTATTAAAAGTCTATTACCTATTTATTAGTATGCACTTCCCTATTCTTCTTTTCCTTGTCCTGACAATCAAACAAGGACAATTCTATGTGTATGTAAACTTCTCATTCAGGTTTTTATATTTGTAAAACACTATGTAGCTTATACCAATTTAGAGGACATTATATGGAAATAAGGCAATCATTAAAAGGACAAATACTCATGACCTTTTATCTCACAGCAGCAAATCAAGCAGAGAGAGAGAAAGAGAGAGGACCCTACTTCCAATAAGAAGAAGAAAATGGTTTGGGGGCCCAGGTGACATATACACACAGATAAAGACTTCCTTTAAGAGACATTATGCTGAGTAACAATATATGAGTTGATCAACTGGAGGGATGAGCAAATGGAATTTAACTTTTCTTCCTATAATTTCGGAATGAAGTTCCTTCCTCCAAATTGCTTTCTGTTGGTATTTGCAACCCCACAAACCAGAGCAGGAATGTTTCCTGAGACCAATATTTTATGCTAAATCATCACAGATTGTTACTGTTGTTATTTCCCTTTGAGTCTCCTACAACTGACTGATAGTGACCCTATGTATAGCAGCTCTGAAGCCTTCCTTGTCCGGTGCCAGTCTCACTGATTATGACACACTTACTCCTAATGCCCCAGTTACTGTGTCAATTCATCTCATGTAGGGTCCTTCTCTCCCATGCTGTCCCTACACCCTTCAAGAATGGTATCCTTTTCTAAGAATTGGTCCCTCTTGGCCATATGCCCCAACTATGTGAGTTGGAGCTCCAAAATCCTACCCTCCAAGGAGAAACTTGGTTTTACCCTCTCTAAGACAGAATTATTTGTTTTCTTGGCAGTCCATGGTATGTTCAAGACTTTTCTCCAACACTACAACTCGAAAGCATCAATTCTTCTTTTGTCATCATTAGTCAATGTCCAGATCTCTGATGCATAGCAAGTACTTGTGAAACCATGGCTTGGATCAAGGACACCTTAGTCTCTTGACTGACATCATGAGATCTTACAAAATATATATTGTCATCTTTATTTCTTGATCCTGTATGTCCATTTTAATAGTAAAAGAAACTGTAATAAAGAATATGTTGTTATATTGACCTCTAATCCCAGAGTCTTGAGCCCTTAATACAGTGCTGATGATATTTTTATTCAAAATATAGTCTTCATCTAGTATTCTAGAAGTGAAGCATAATGCATAATCACATCTCTCTGTATATTCCCAAACAAGAAAAATATAGCCAAGAATTATATTCCTGAAGAAAATAAGTGTAAGCTTGAGTAATTATTCAGATAATTAATGCCCTCTCCATATGTTCTGAGGCTTGAATTAGCAAGATCTTTAACTTTTTTTATGATTAATCTTTAAAAAATTATGCATTTTTAGAAATCATTTTACATTGATTTGCATACAAAATTCGCATACATTGTATTTTGTTCATTTACACTGTATTTTACACATTCTTTCATTCACATTGCTTTTCATATAATCATTCCCATATACCATGTTTTATAAAATTAATCACCATTATTCAATACCCACTATCAGCCTGTCTTTTCAGGTCCCCACTAGATCTATCCTAATTCCTTTTCTCCCTTCCTCTGCCAGCCAAACTCTTTGACTTGGTCATTTGTCCCCATCTCCACCCTCAGTGACCCTGCTCACCTAATCTTCTCCCTCTGGCTTTTATATGCATCTTAATAGTTGCCTTTCTATTTTAAAAATAATGATCTTATGCAGTATTTATCCTTATGAAACTGATTTAGTTCACTCAACATGATGCTTTCTTATTTCTCCCATATTATATAGCATTTTACAAAATCATTGATCCTGAGTGCTGTATAATATTCCATTGTGTACCATAATTCCTCAAACTTGTTGTTGTTGTTAATGGATATTTGGACTGTTTTCATGTTCTTGCTATAGTGAATAATTCTGCTATGAACATTGGTGCACAAGTCCCCTTTTGCTTCTCAGTTCTATTTTCCTCGGAGTACATTCCTGGAAGTGGAATAGCTGGGTCACGTGGGATGTATATGTTCAGCTTTTTGAGGAAATGTCAAACTACCTTCCAGAGTGGTTGTACCATTTTACAGTTCCACAAACAGTGTATGAAAGTTCTCCAATCTCTCCACACATAGAGGAGTATGCATTTTTAAATATAAATATTAGGAATTATTAACAAGTAACATGTGCTTATTTCTTTAGACTTTAGACTACAAGTAGCACAATTTGGATGCAAGAAAGCAAGATGATTCTATAAATTTTAATTCCCAGTCTCATGTTGTTCATGAGATTCTCCTTCCCTTGGCCTTCACAGTTTGATGGGGCCTCCTTTAAGATTTTTGTTTTTCTTGCCTTGCTCTTCTGTTTCATTAATTTCTACTGCTGACTTCTCAGAGAATTTAATTAGAGCTCTTCCCAGGTTGCTTGCCGTCTTAGGTTATTTCAGCCAAGGGCACACATTGAGAAATGCTACAAATAAAGTAAAATTTGGTAATTTTATAAGTTAGGTATAATTTCATAAACAACTATGTTGATAATAGCATGTGTTGGGGGTCACAGTGAAAACATTTTAATTACAGACAGATCTACTCAGTGCTTCAGCTTTCCACTTTCCAAAGTAGCATTATGCCTGCACAATGGAACACAGAACACTATTAAAGTATACTATTTTCTTTTCAAAACAGCTGTAGAAACAACTTTTGAAGGATGCATATATAGTTCAGAAACCACAGTTGCTGCATGACTTGAGTCAGCACTTGTTGACATCAAATCACAGGCAGCTGGATTTAACAACGTAGTTTGTTTCTAATGATGTGCTTACTTATTCTCTCACCATTCACTTAGGGGCCAGAGGAAAATTAGTAGCCCTAATACTTAGTCATTTTTCTTCATTTTCCAACTTTGTGGCAAGCAATTTGTATGATTTATCGATAAATATCTTTTAGATACCTAATGAGAAAGCTCAAGAACACCAGTAATATAGAAGAGCGTCGGTAAACATCACTGCCATTTCATTTCATTTCAAACCTGCTTCTGATTCAAGTCATATATGATATAATTGTTTTAGCACAGTGTGCATAATTAGTGTTCAGCTGATGGTAAATAACATAGCATAAGCATATTTATTAAATTAACTCTTCAGATGGAATAATTTGAAGTACTTCTCATGATAGAGAAAGTATGCACTGTCTAAGAACTAAATATAAACAATAATAAATAGAAACAAAAAGTATTAAAATGGACATTTGAGCTGCAAGTAAAATTAGGAGTTGAAAAATAATCTAATTTGTGACTAGAAGGCCATGCTTATAAAATCAACACAACTGCAGGTATGCACGTATGATACTACAAACAGCTAAGCAAGTCTTATACCAAGGGACAGACGACCAATTGCTAACTGACAGGTGACAGTTGGTGGAGGGTCTTTTTAATTTAATATGATTTAAATGTTATTATAAACAACTTGAAAGCCATACTTGATGGCTTATGATAAATATATCCCTTCACAAATTTCTTGATATCTATATTTTTCCCCCTTAGGCTTGATTGAGAAAGTGACTGAACTGTCCGCCTCTATCTACCATCTAATAGATATCTATTGTAGCAGCTTTTATACAGATTTTCAGCCTGTAAATGCACCTAGAAGCACATCCTCCGTGAATCTTGGACTGGATTCTCATTTTAGCTTCACAGTGTATGCAGCTCATAACATTCCAGAGACCTGGTTGCACAGGTGAGTGTGGAGAGCATAATTAATAGAAGTCCTCGAGAGCACTAATTAGAATATAACCTGTCTTATTCTTGGTTGTAGGATTAAATATATTACAAAATTTTAAAAACTAGTCTGAGTAAATTTTTGTTATTCTTAAAATCCTTTTATATTTACATTTCCAATGCTTTTGCTGTTTTTGAGTGCCATTGAATCAACTATGACTCATGACAACCCTATAAACTATCAAGTCATACAAATATGACTTAAATCTATTCAGTAGTACCTACCAGAAAGTAGCTGAAATGTCAGAAGGAAAGGTGGCAGGTTAGAGAAAGAGACAGAAAGATCTTCAACCAGATGAACTGACATATGCCTCTGAAGCAGATAGCTATAGAAAGGCTTCAGTCATTTGTTCATAGGGTAGCTATGAGTTGTGCTCAACTCAGCAATCAACAGTGATTATCTAAACAATGAGCTCCAGAAATCAGAGACACAGGAAGAGGAGAATAGGGCAAAGTTCAGATCTGTTGTCCATAGGGCCACAATGAATAGTAAATGGCCTGTTGACACTAATAACAACATAATTATTCTTCTTATTAAAGATTCTTATTAAAATTCATATTCTTATTCAATTTCGAATTATCAAGTAAACAGATGTTATTTGAAACTGGTTCCACTGCTTAGTTTCATGTTATAGATTTATTCTGAAAGGTTAATCTTGACTCATTTCACACATATATAAAGTAATTTTTAAATCACACTTTCTGTAAGCAAGTTGTGTAAATCTCCTGACTTTGAAGCATTAAAAAAATGTAACTCATACAAAAAAACTGGGGTATTTTTTAGATTGTTGATTCACTGTTATTTCTTTTTAGCTACAAAACATTTTCATTTTCCTGTTGCCTTACATATGCTGGAAAAAAGCTTTGCCAAGTGAAAAACTACAGAAGTATTCCAGTCAAAAAATTATTTTTCTTCTTGGTCAACTGGAATGAAACGTAAGTTTAATCTTGACTCTGCTTAGATCATTTATCTAGGAAAGGTTAGCTATGTTTGTTTTGCTTTCCATTTTTTTCTTAACAAAGGATAAGTTTGTTTTTTTTTAAATGTAAATTAATCTGTTTCACTGATGTGGTAAATCGGTGAATGCTAATAGATAACTGAATATTCAATTCAGTTGCTAAAAAAACTCGACAAGTAACTAATCCACATTATTGAACTGAGAGATGTACGATGGAAAATATGAGAGGAGTTATTAATCATTCTCAGGCTGCAGATTTAAGGCATGTTCTACGTGGCGTTAAGGATGGAAAAATACTCCAAATTTAAAAGGAGAGAAAAATGACACATGCATATCATAGATATGAATTTCCAATTTCACAGACAAACCACAGGTCAGATCTATTTTCAAAAGAGAAAAATTCTCTTTTGTTTTGGTTTGGTGTTTATAGTTGTTATGTCTTTTGTTTGTTTGACTTGCACCCCCTTTTTTTCTGAGATACCTACAAATTAACTCATAAGCACTCCTAAAGATATTTAATCTGTTTAAGCAGCAGAAATTTAGACTACTAAAGAGGATGAAGATGGTATAAGATACAAGAGTGTTAAGGTCTATTATTCATACTTGACACAAAGACACCTTAACAACAGAGCTGACTGCACCCAGACAAGTGATCTGGATAGAAAACCACACACCCTAATGGGGCACATTTATATAGATAGAGGCTAACCAGGATGTTATCAGAGGTGGTTAGTTCTCTGTTGACTGCTGTGTAAGATGTTCCTTATACTAAAGAGGAGGTTTGGGTCCTAATAAAATGTGTCAGGCATGTTTGTTAGAATCTGGGAGGTGAGCCAGAAGCTATTGTGCACCTGTGATCCAGGCAGAAACCTTGCTAAAGAACTAAAGTGCAGCCTTTTTTGAGGCCTTGCTAAGGGTCTTAAACCTCAATTACGTAATTTGAAAATAATCACCTATTTATTGTAGAAACATCTGCCTAATTTGGGCTGGCTGACTCCTACTTTTTAAAGAGATTTATTAAATCAAAAGTTCTCTACTAACAGTGTTTATCTCTTGCATTCTCACTTTCTCTCTTCATTCAGAGTTTCAGGAGGCTTAGAAGCCTAGCCTTGGACTTTTCATGAGAACTACAACTTCTGCTTCTGTCCTTGTAACATTATAGACTTCATATATGAAGTCTCCCTGGTGTATGAAAGCACTTCAGTCACCATCTATAAATATATTTTATATTTAATCATAGTAGTGCTCCCCAGAATATCCTTGAACTATCACAATAATTTTTACTTTCTCATTAAAGTTCATTATTTAAAAACAAATAGATCTTTAATGGTCTTATTCAATTTAGAATTCACTGAGAGTTAATAGGCTTCCTACTTCAAGTATATAAAAATTCCCTGACTACTCTGGCAGCTATTTCAGAGATCATGGCTTCCTTCTAAGATAATTTAATTCCCAGCATTCTGTTTTTCCATCAATAAACATGTGCCAATATTTCAATGAATTTGAAAACTGCGTAACATAACCCACTACCACGGTTTCCAAGGACAGATATCTTCTCTATTAGATTTCTGAGACTACGAATCTTTATGGGAACAGCCCACTTTATCTTTCCTCCTGGGAGCTGCTGCTGGATTTGAAGCTCTTTCTCACATATTTTGGGCATGTGGCCATGAGGGATCAGTCTTTGGAGAAGAATATGTTGCTTGGAAGGGATGAGAGGCACAGAAGGTTCTGGATGAGATAGATTGACATAATAACTGGGGTAAAGAGGATAAGTGTGTCAGAGATGCTGAGTTTGGTTTAGGATAGAGCAGGATTAAGAGCTATTGCGCATAGGGCCATTCTGAGTCGTAGTTGAATCGATGGCACATAATAGCAACCATGACAGTGACTCCCTCAGAATATTATTACATAGTTTGATCATTAAAATTGTGTGCTTTCTATAATTATAAAGTATTTCTTGTTTTCCCAAAAGGATATTAATTTTCGACTTACAGGTATCTATTGTCTTTTAGATAATTCCAGAGAAAAAGATATTTACTCTCAAGCACATTTCAAAAATACTATCCTAAATAGGCTGAAAATAAATGTTTAGATGTCAACTATAACAGATAAGAATTATGCTCTATCCTGCATCATACTCAAGATCTCTGCCATGCTCAAGCCATTGTCAATGTCATTGTGTCAATCTCATTGAGAGTCTGCTCATCCTCTATCTTTCCTAGCTTGTCTTTGTTCCAAGGATGGAACCTTCTGACTTAATGTCCTGAATTTGTGAAACAGAATTTCACCATCCTTTCCTCTATAGAACACCCTGTTTGCATTTCTTCCAAGACAGATTTGTTTGCTCTTTGGCAATCCATAGGATATTCAGTACACTTCATCAGCATTACAATCAAAGGCACCAATTCTTTAGTCTTCCTTTTTCGTTGTACAAATTTCAGATGCATAAGAAACAATTGAATATGGCGTGTACCTCAGTTTTTAAACTGATATCCTTGCTATTACTTTCGAAAGGGCCTTCACCACAGATTTCTCCAAAGCAACATGTTATTTGATTTCTCACCTGCTCTTACCAAAGCTGTAGATTGTGGACTCAAGTAAAATTTTATCATTAACAACTTCAGCCTTTTCTACATTTATCATAATGTTGCTTAATGGCCCAATGATGAAAGTTTTTTATTTCCTTGATGTAAGATGTAGTCCATATTGAAGACTAAAGTCTTTGATCCTCTGCAGAAAGTGCTTCAAGTCCTCTCCAGTTTGTGCAAACAAGATTGTTTCATCTCCATAATGCGAGTTCTTGATGAGTCTTCCTCCAGTCCTGATGTCATGCTAGTATAGCTGAAAAAATACATTTTCACTGGCATATAATTTTTTTCCTCAAATATTAATCTATTTGTATCATGCCTATGAGTTTATTAGTTACTAATAGTAGTTACTCCAACATAAAATTATTTTTTATTTTATTTCAGGTTGCTGTTTTTTTTTTAAAAACAACAACAACCTTGTTTTCCTAGGTAGTTTCAGCATCTTTAAAATCTTCTATAAAGCATTTTCCCATTATGCAATTATTGATTATATTTTATCCTTTCTAGTGAATTTAAGAAGTGAATTATGTCATTAAAAAGAAATAATTTAAATTTGATAATTGAAATTAAAGTTTTATCACTTAATATATTCTTAATTTTGTAGTAAACAGTCAATACTCGTTATCATGAGTTTACAAGAAATCTGTTGCTAAAGTATTGTCATCAAAAGTTTATGGATCAGAAAATTGATGTATTTAAACCTAAATTAATTAATTCTTATGACCAGTAAATGACAGAAACAATGTTCAAACCAATTCTATAAGGCTCCAAAACTGAGGTTCTTATTGTAACTTCTATTCAATCCTTACAACATATAAAATCTTGGGTAGTTACTGACATTTGATTAGTTAGTCACATTACTAAATTTAATGTTTGCTTCTCAGTATTCAATGTTGATAGATGGAGAAGAGATTGAGGGTGTTAGCAATTATAGCTTACTCTGATGTACAATCAACACGCTTAATACCAGCAGTCAGGAGATCAAAAGACGAATTGCATTGGGAAAATCTGCTGTCATGGGTCTCTCCAGAGTGCGGAAGAGAAACAATGTCAGTCTAGAGACAAAGATGCACCTAATCCAGGCGGTGGTTTTCTCAATTACTTGTTATGCTGCACAGAATTAGACAATGAATAAGGATGACAGAAGAAAAATAGATGCCTTTGAGTTATGGTGCTGGAGAAAATTCTTGAACATACCATGAACTGTTAAGAAAACAAATCGGTCTGTATTGAAAAGGGTAAAACCAAGTCTTTCCTTGGAGCCTAGGATTTTGAAGTTCCACCTCACATACTTTGGGCACGTTGCCAGGAGAGATCAGTCCTGGGAAAAGGATATCATGCTCAGAAGGGTGGAGGGGCAGTGCAGCAAAGTAAGACTTCAGATGAGATAGATTGATAAAGTATCTGGGAAGTGGGTGTTTGTGTGTCAGAATTAGTGAGACTGGCTCAGGAGAGGGAAGGGTTCAGAGCTGCTGTACATATGGTCACTATAGGTCACAGGTGACTCAATGGCACATAATGACAACAACATACTATATTGATTGTTTTTTATCTAAACCTCATGTTCAGAGTCAACAAGAACTTGAGGAGGACACTGCCATCTCACATATTCATGGTTCGAATCCACCAGATGCTCCACTGGAGGAGGATGGGCAATTTCATCCTGTACCAGTCAGATCCAATTTGACTGTACACAAGAATAAAAAAATAAAAATCATATAATTAAAAAAATTAAAGGTAGAACTTGAGGAGGGCTTTTGTATTTAAAAGTTGGTTGTTATTATATTTTTGACAAATATTCTAAGTGATACAGCACTCTTCGGTCAATACACTGTACTGAGGTAGCCAGGGGTTGCTTTGATGCCAAACCTTATACCATTGAGGTGTCAAATGCCATAATGATTACTCATGGTAGACAGTGCTTGGTGGAGCTCCCAGTTTAAGACATGTTTGGAAGCAGGAGTGACATCTACTTCCTAAACAGTATGCCTCTGGAAACTCTGTGAACTTTGCTAAATGGCGATGGTTGTGGAAGGACTTCATATCTTTTGTTCATGGGGTCACTATGAGTTGTGGTTGACTTCATGGCAATCAGCAACAATTGTTGTTAGGTACTGTTGAGCTGATTAGTCACTTCATGAACAATAGATTAGAACTTTGCCCTATCCGGCACCACCTTCATGATCTCCAACAAGTTCAAGTCCATTGCTACAGTACCTGACATGAACCATGTAATATATATATATATGTATATATATGTATATATATGTATTTATATCTATATATGTATATATGTGTATATATATGTATATATGTGTATATGTGTGTGTGTGTATGTATATATATATATGTAACTGTATAACAAACACATGGTTAAAACGTAAAG